TCCCCTCATTTTTTTCTTGTTTTTTTGAATACTTTTTTTTTACCTCATCATTTTCATTCTCTTTTTTTTTAACTGAAACAGAATAAATAAAACAACAAATCATGGGGAGGGGGGGGGGGGGCTAGGCCTAACCCAATGATAAAAACCAGTACATGAATCGAAAAGAAGGAAAACCAAATAAATCCGTATAATTTGCTTTTTGGGCCGGATCCGGAAGATGTAGAACCCGAGTAAAATAACCCTGATGGGCCGTCGGTTGGGCCGCCAGATGGTGTGCAACCCAGTTATATTCCCTAACAAAGTGTGAGAATACCACCCCTTTCCTTTTTCTCTGAGTAAGGTTTTCTGAAAACTTTTCTTCCAACGACCAGCACCTCCATCCTCGATATACTTCAATGCCACAGCTGCGTCCATTTCAATCTCAAAATTAGAGAAACCCCCTCAAATCGTGATATCAATCGCATACATGACAACAGCGAGCTCGGCTTCTAATGGAGAAGCCGCCACGAGAGGAAACGAAGCGGCAAAGGCTAAGACTCCTTCAAAGTTTCTATATATATATATATATATATAAACATTGTTTTTATCCTTTTTATTTTATCATTTTTAGATATATTCATCTCTTTTTATATTATCTTTTTCATAATAGCTTATCCTTTTATCTTTATTTTCTTTCTTTTCCGTTTGGTGGTGATATCATGTATCGATTCATGTTAGTCGACCCCAATATCTTTTGGGACTAAGGCTTGAATGTTGTTGTTGTAATTATCATATACTTTGTATTGATATTTAATGTAATATTACTAAAATTACTTTGAAATTTCTATTTTAATGAATAAAAAAATGAATATAGTAAAATATTGATAAAGAATAAAAGATATTAGAGAATTTTAAAGAATAAGGAATTCGAAAATGAATATATGTAAAATATTGATAAAGTATAAAATATCATACAAAATTTTATGAGTATATAGTGTTCAGATATTTCTATTATATTTGGACTTTACGTCTTACCATTTTTACCATTTTACCCCGGCTATCCTCAAGGACTATCGGAAACACTCCTTGGTCAATCCCATGTCCGGGATCAATTTATCAATCAAGTTTTCTTGAGTAGCCTTTAAGGCCTACCCCTAATATAACTTATAGTTAATACAATTTTACTTTATCAATCAAGTCACCTTAAAGTGTCTTTTAAGACTACTTAAGGTTATATCACCATCCAAACTTACGTTCAATTTTATCAAAACCTCATATTAATTTCCCGGCTAGTGTCTTAGTACTAGCTGGGTAAATTCTAGTATAATCAAGTCTTAAATTCATGGTCATATGGACAAATTAAACTCATTCTTCAATCAAGAATGTAATTCACATTTCATTCATAAAAGTATCATTTTTACCCTTTACCATAATTAATCCTTACTTCAAGTAAGAACACATTTTTATCATAAAGCTTTATAGTTTATTCAACTTATCATGCCATCGTATTGACAATACATAATCATGCATGGTCTATCCTTAGTTTTCATAAATCATATTTCTTTTCTTCATGGACAATAATCCCCCCATCTTTGTATTATTAAACATTAACAATCCACGAAAATCACATTTAAACAACTTAGATAATCTCATGAAATCAACTCACTAATTATAAGCAATATAGTCAGCCATGCTCACCTTATGATGTATTTGACTAGCTGCCCTTGTGAAGCCCCTTGATCAATTCCCATTCTAGGCCGATCGTAAATGAGCTAGCTTGACAGCAAGTGAAAACCGGCGGCTTTTGCAAAAGACATACGGTTTTTGCTTCTGCAGTTTGAGACACCCCACTTTTTAATGGTGGTTTCAACTCCTATAGAATCAATTACTCTTCTAGATTAAATACCAACACTTTATATTAATATTCTACACTTTTAATCGCACATAACCTTTTCTTTAACCCACCACATGATATCTTAAAAATCATATGAATAAAATACTAGTTAATGGATACTAGTGAGTTCTTACCTCTAATCCTAGCTTTTTCTCCTTTGATTCCCTTTCTTCTTGCTTCCTCCAGTCTTGTTGTTTGTGAGAGCTTTCTCCTAGAGATCTTCCTCTCTTGAGTGGTTTGAATGATGCAAATGATATGGGGGAGACACCTCTTCTCAATCTCTCGAAATAATTAAAAGGATAGGACTATGGGAGTGTGATTGGGAGTGTGACTTTGTTCCTATGTCCCTTCCTATTTCTTGTCCCCCCTATGTTTAGAATCTATTTCACTATTTGAACTCTTCAAGACATGTAAAAAAATCTTCAAGCGGGTATGAGATTTTCCTCCCTATTCTTATGGTTATTTTTAGTAAGTTGGGTAAAAAATAGCACCTGGCTTGTCTGTTCATTTTCCCTAACTTTAGTTTGCCTTTTATTAGGCTTCTATAAATATTATTATGACCCAAGCAAATATTTGGTAGTCCCTCCCAATATTATGGACCCGATAAATAATTTAATTAATCATTCATTAATTAAATCCATCATCCATTTACACACAATTATTAAATGGGAAATTCAAATATATCTAGAATTTTAATTTCAAGTACATCCGGGTGTGGTGTCACATACTCAATGGTGCAACATGCAACCGAGCTAGTAGGGTGATTCCAATGGCAAATCTCAAGGTGCAATATGTCAAGTATTCTATGGCAAAGGTGGAGGAGGAATTGGAAGGTCAGGTGTTCATAGAAGTAGGCCAAGCTCCGGTGAAGCCAAAAAACAAGATGGAGGCGGGCTCGGGAGACCAGATCCGTCTCGAACTCTGACGATTTTCTCTCTCTCAAGATGAATTTTCAAGTTTCTCATTGTCGAGGGAAGATTTTTTTATTTTAGTTGATATTATTGTATTGTAGTTTTTTTCGAATTAGACTTTGTTTTCCTTGTGTTTTTCTTGTTCCCTTAAGAACAATACAAATTATGGAGAGTGAGGAACAAACTTTTTCGATCACTTTTGGCTCAGTTGTGCCCGTTTTAGGATCAAGTAGTTATATTATTTTTTCGAAGATGAATAGCTCTAAGCCTTGTTCAAGAATCAGTGCTTGGGATGTGACTTTTTGTCTTGATGTAATTTGTCTCAATTCTGGAGTTTTAGTAAAAGCTATTAAATTAAAAAAAAAAACAATCCCCAAGTGACCTATTTGTCGGACCTGGAATTACAAATGTACATGATGTGAAATCGGTGCTTCTTAACCCTATTACCATTAAATTTTTTCGATATGAACACTTGAATTAATAAGGCTCGAACTGGACCACACTCGACTCAAACTTATTCACCCCATCCCTGCCCCCGCCCCCTGAATGAAAAGTGTATCATGTTATGGATCTGCCACTAGCTAATTACATATATGTTGCTTTAATTTGAAGAAAGGTTTAGGATGTTTTCTATATTTGATTTTCAGTTTTCTATTTTCCTATTTGATTTAAGGGAAGGTTCATGATGTTTTATATTCTTCATGGTTTAAATATGTCTAGTCTCTACAAATATGACACATTTTATTTTAGTCCCTATAATTTTTTTTCATGCTTGTAATATGACATTATTTTGTATTTAGTCCATCTCTAACTCCAAAAGACTTGTACTCGGAAAACAATTATGGGAAAAGTACAATAAATGTACTTAGGCTTGGCCCATTTTGTCATAAGCATGTGTTTCATTTTTGAACAAAGTAGGACAAACAAATAACAAATTAGGACATGTATTTCAATGCTGTTATCACACGAGGGGCAGGGCGTCTAACGCCGTTAGAAATTGTATGAGGAAGACACTGAACGTTAACCCTGATTTTCAAGTGCCCAAAATATTAAAAGAAACATACTGGGAGGTGCGCCTCATCAAGGAGACCTCCAAACCATCTTCATCTTTGGATTTTTCGGCTCAATTTGAATTATTTTTTAAAAATGAATTTGCTAATATCACTTTTTCGACGGATTGTCTAGTGACAAGGGTGGATGGAAACAAGAAAGAAAGATTGTCTGTAGGTCTCCTTTACAAGGCACACCTTCTAGTATTTTTCTTTTAATTTTTCGAGCACTTTTGGAATAGTAGTTACTGTTCATCTCCTTCCTCCAACGATTTCATACGGCATTAAGCGTCATGCCCCTCCTGTGATAGCGAAATTAAAACGCATGCCCTACTTTGTTGAAAATGAAACATGTGCCGTTATATGAAAACGACTCAATCCACAAGTACCTTTTTCGTATTTTTCCCAGCATCTATTGTAGGTTGCATTGAAATATAAAGGATAATCAAAATACATTTTTTCGTACTTTTCCCAACATTTTTAGTACATAAAGGATAATCAAAATACACACATTGAAATATATTTCTTAATTATAAAAAATATTTTAAATATCTCATTACTCCGTCAAAAAATGTATTTATAATAGCATAAGTTCATGAAAAAACAAAAATAATGATCAAGTCCAAAATAATATTTAAATTATATACTTCATAAAATAACATGTAATAAAAAGAAATAAGAGTTTACACATATTGAAGTAGCAAATCACACTACTACATAAAAGAATAATTCGTAATTGCATAAGTCGATGACAAATGTAAAAATAGTACAAAGTAATTAAGTCTAAGACATAATTTTGTAAAGTAATATCGGAAAATAAAGCATAATAACGATACAATGAGGCGAAGTTAACATCATCATCATCTTTATATGATGATCATATAACACTAAAGTTAAACTCATCATTTTCACCTAGATGACGGATGACATTTGAGAAAGTTGTGTGACCGCTACACTTATTATTGTTTATGTGTAAAAGTTTATACTAAAAAATGTCTGGTTTAGAAAAAACCTTAATTTTGATATGCTTGTTTGGAAAAGAACATATCATTCCCATCGTTTTAAACCTTAATTTTTTGCGTATAAAACGCGTTTTAAACACGTACCGTTTTTTTATATGCACGTTAAAGAACATATCAAATGATATGCACGTTTTAAAAAGCCATCGTTTTTTCCATCGTGCATATCAAACAGGTTTTACTAAATTAAGGTTTGTAAAGAACATATCAAATGATATGCACGTTTTAAACAGCGTGAGTCCAACAGAAAAGAAAAAGTCTGGCGTAGAACATAATCGGCCAAAAACGATGTCCCCCAACCCTACTAATGACTAGAATATTCCTGAGAGGAAGATCCAGCCGCCCTTGCGCGTTCCGGTCAGCCGGTATCCTTGAAGAGGGTCGTCCTGTTTTTATCAAGGAAAAATTCACATAAATAATCTCAACTATCACCCGTCTTCTCACATTAAACAACCATCATTTTTTGCGTTTAAAACGCGTTTTAAACACGTACCGTTTTTTTGAACAAAAAACGCGTTTAAAACTAAAAATAATGTCGGTCCGTTTAAAAAGGAAAAAAACTTCCACTTACCGTATAAAACGTATTTTTCCCGTATTTTACAAAAATGGAATCATCATTTGATCACTTGAATGAATACATCAAATAAATAGGAGATCAACAATAGTTTACAATACAAATATACAATTGCTAAATACTAAAATTAATTGCAGGATGACTAAAGCTAGCATTCTAAAATACTAAAACCTAAATACTACTACATATTATATTTATGATGTTCTTTTCTAAACAAGCATATCAAAATTAAGGTTTTTCTAAACCTGGCATTTTTTAGTATAAACTTTTACACATAAACAATAATAAGTGTAGCGGTCGCACAACTTTCTCAAATGTCATCTGTCATCTAGGTGAAAATGGTGAGTTTAACTTTAGTGTTATTTGATCATCATATAAACATGATGATGATGTTAACTTCGCCCAATTCTATCATTATTATGCTTTATTTTCTGACATTACTTTGCAAAATTAGCCTCACGAGGACGGTGGATGAAGGAGATCTGTTTTGCAACCGCCATCTTCCGAATTGACTGGATTGTCGGAGAAAGGTATGATAGTACTTTTTGAGTGCCGTTCGTCATTTGGATGCAAGTCAGTGAGTCATTTTGAGTTTGAAACTTGTTATAACCCTTTTCCGTTATTATTGAAACTGAGGTAAGCATGGATGTAATTTCTGCGTGAAGAGGGTTGCATGCTTGAATCGGGAATGAGAATGCTTCTATTAGCTCACCGTCTGTGTTCCAGAGTATTGCACCACCTGCTCCCTGTCAATCTTTGTAGGATGCGTCTGTATTTAGAATAAATGAGTATGGTAAATCCATTTTCCACCCAATTTTTTCCTTGTTTGAGCTTTTGGATTTAATATATGGCATCATCCCATTCATGTGAAGTTCCGCGTCAAATGCGAAAAATTTCTTGTTTATGTTGGAGTAGCACCAATCTCGACAGTAGCTTTTAATTTCCTTGACTAATTGTGCACTTGAGAATGTTTTTCCATCCCAAATACAGGTATTGTATGCCTTCCAAATATGCCACATTATTATTCCTGGCATAGCTTTCCGCAGAGTGTCTGTCTTAAGTCATCCTCCTCAGTTGTGCGTACCTGCAAAACACATGAAAAATACCTCCAAATGGGTTTGATTAGCGTGCAGGTGAATAGTGTGTGGTTTTGGTAGTCTTGATGGTTTTTGCAGAACTGGCACCTCGTAACTAGATGTAATTTAAACCGGGTTAGATTGTCTGGGAAAGGCAAGAACCCTGAAAGGTATTTCCAAACAAATAGTTTGATCTTAAGTTGTATAATAGTACTCCAGTTTTGTTTATAAGAGAGTGTGGGGGGGGTATGTGGTTCTCGAGTGGTTGTATGCACTTTTGAGGGAGAAGTGACCAGAGTTATCAAGGGTCCATGAGGGTTGGGTGTGACTGAAATCGATTATTTCGTGGTTCGGTTGGGCAGTATAACAGATCAGTTTCCACAGTGAGGAGTCATAAGGTTAGCAAGCATATTACCTTCCCTTGAATATCTGGAGTGCATATATTTAGCCCAAATTGATTTCTGCTCTGTGTAGTTCCACCATACCTTCAGGTGATATGATTTTTGTATATCCCATATTGATCTGACATTTAATCCTCCTTCTTCTCCTTGTCTACAAATTGCTTTCCAACTTTTCCAATGATGCTTGTTCTTTTCACCTGTTGTTCCCCAAAAAAAATTACTCATAAGGCTATGAACGCTTTGAATAACACTTTTTGGGAAGTTTGTGAAAGCTAGGTGATGAATTGGGATTGATGTGAGAACATGTCTAATGAGTATTAACCGGCCAGATTGGTTCAATTGTTTATTTTTCCAGGACTAGAGCTTTGATTCAAAGGACTTGAGAATGCTGGAGCAATGGGCTATGCGGGTGATTCCTTGGTGTAGAGTGGCTCTCAAGTAGGTAATAGGCAGCTGTGAAACACTCATTCCAGTGTCCTTTTTCAAGCTTCTTTTCCTCCTTAGGGTTGCATTTTTGCTTACCAACAAAGTGCTTTTGTTGTAGTTCACAACCTGACCCGTGGCTGACTCTAAGAGTTCCAGGAATTACTTAAGGTGTTTTAATGAGGGGGCTGACCCATTAAGGAAGATCATTACGTCGTCTGCGTAACCAAGATGTGTTACTGGGCTTTTTTGTGACCAATTACGTAAGGTAGAATGTGTTTCTAGGCAAAAAGTTGTTGTAAACCCTTTGTAAAAGATTATAAGACAATCAAGAAGAGGTACGGGGATAGTGGGTCCCCCTGTTTGACCCCCCTCTGTGGCTTAAAAAATCCATAGGGCAGACCATTGACCAAGACTGAAATGTGTGTTGAGGCCAAGTTGCTCATTATAAGATGGGTAAACCTCTTATCAAAACCCAACTTGATAAGAGAGGCCTCTAGAAAAACCCAAGAAACCCTATCAAAGGCCTGTGCGATATTCAATTTGATTGCGATATTTCCACCCCTTACAGAATTGTCCAGGTGGTGTAGAATTTCTTTCGCTAGCAGGATGTGATGGTGGATGTCCTCCCCCTCCATAAATCCGATTTGCTCGTTTGAGACGATCTTTGGGAGGACTGTTTTAAGACGGGTAGCTATGATCTTCGTGGTATAAGTGAGTAAATCATGAAGAGAATTAAGAGAAGTTAATTAAACCTAATAAATGAGTAAATAAGTGAAACAAAATAATTCGTAACAAAAGTTAAATGACTGAAAAAATAAAGGATAAAGGATAAAGGATTAAGGATCATAAGGATCATACGGATCATAAGGATCATACGGATCATACGGATCATACGGATCATACGGATCCTACGGATCCTACGGATCCTACGGATCCTACGGATCCTACGGATCCTACGGATCCTACGGTTCCTACGGTTCCTACGGTTCATACGGTTCATACGGATCATACGGATCATACGGTTCATACGGATCCTACGGTTCCTACGGTTCATACGGTTCCTACGATTCATACGGTTCCTACTGTGCGATATTCAATTTGATTGCGATATTTCCACCCCTTACAGAATTGTCCAGGTGGGGTAGAATTTCTTTCGCTAGCAGGATGTGATGGTGGATGTCCTCCCCCTCCATAAATCCGATTTGCTCGTTTGAGACGATCTTTGGGAGGACTGTTTTAAGACGGGTAGCTATGATCTTCGTGCAAATTTTATTGATAAAATTTGCTAGACTGATTGGGCGATATTGACTGAACTTTTTGACATTTGGAGCTTTAGGAATGAGAGTAATGAGCGTCCAAGAAAGTCCCTTAGGCATGGGTAGTCCCAGAAAGAATTCTTGGACTGCCGTTAGGTCATTCTCTATTATACTCCAAGAACTCCTGTAGAAATGGCCGTTGAACCCATCTGGACCAGCACTACTGTCTGGGTTCAGTGCCCACATTGTGTCCTTAATTTCCTGTTTGGTTGGAATAGTAGTAAGGTAGACATTGTCCTCAGATGTGATGATGGGCTGTAGAAGGTCCAACATTGTGTCCATGTTTGTGGATGTGTCTTGCACATTTGAGTATAAGTTCTGAATATGGTCAGTGGCGATCTTAGCAATGGATTCCTGATCCGAGTGAGTCAGGCCCAAGTCATCCTCAATGAGTTGGATGGATTGATGCCAACGCCTTTGTCGAACAAAGTTGTGGTAGAATTTTGTGTTGGCCACCCCTTCCATTAGCCATTTGATTTTTGACCGTTGCTTCCAAAACTCCTTCTCTTGTTTAAGTTTTAGAAGTAATTGAGCTTGACTTTTGGACCACTGTGTTCTGGAATCTGGTCCTGGGTTATGCAAAAATTCGTCCTCCGCTATTTGGGCTGCAATTTCAGCCCTTTTCACTTCTTCAAATATATCACCAAATGTCGACTTGTTCCATTGCTTCAGGCCCATTTTTGTTTTTTGAAGTTTATTGTAGAAGTACCTCATACCTCCCCCTGGCGGAAATGAGTTCCAAATTGTAGATAACGTTTCAAGGAAGGTGTTGTGGCTTGTCCACATGTTTTGAAAACGAAAGCACCTGGGTCCACTAAATTTTGTATTATTGCATGATAGGAGAATGGGAGTATGGTCGGCCCTGCTTAGGTGGTGTTCATTAATGGATTCAAATAATTGAAAAAATGCATCGTTAGCTAAATACCTATCCAGTCTCCTCCATTCCCTGCCAGAGGAGCGGACCCCGGTCCATGTGTATTTGCTCCCTGTGAACTAAATTTCATTCAAGTTGTAGTAATCTCTGCACTGGGTAAAATCAGTAATTTCAGGAAGTTTAGGGGTCGTTTTACCGTGGTGGTCATCAAGGGAACCAATGACGTTAAAGTCACCGCCAACCACCCATAGTTCGTTGTTTCCGTCCTTCCAGGTTCTCAGGTTGTTCCATAGCCTTGACCGATCACCTCTAGTGTATTTTCCATACACATTGGTTAGCCAAAAAGTGTATCCAAGGTCTCTCACTATGACTTTAACATGGACATATTGGTCTGATTCCAGAATGTTGTCAATGGTGAATAAGTCCTCCTTCCAGAAAACCCAAATCCTGTTGTCCATTTTCGGGTAAACATGACTAAAACCGAGCTGATTTTTGTAAAGTTCAGTAGAAGTTATAGAAACCATTGGTTCAAAGACTGTAAAAAGAGAAATGTTCCATTGAGTGATAATACTTTGTAGTCTGCTACTCGAAGATAGTAGACCACGGGTATTCCAATTCAGCAAAATCATAAGGAAACTTTTTGAAGCCCCATGGCTTCCTTAAGAGCTTGAGAACGGGTAGAGACAGGGGTGGAAGAGTGAGTATACACTGTCTTCTTGATCTTTTTAGAAGCAGATATCAAAAGGTTGCCCTCCCCTTGTGAGGCCTTATCTAGTTTCTTTCCAAGAGTGTTGGAAACCTGGTCCCACTCACTATTTAATACCCCACCTGGGTCACTTGGGTCTTCTTGCTTTCCGTCAGAGTTGTTGTTGGACTCTACCACAATAATAGAGGGGGTTCCATCTTTGAACAGTAAATCATCTTGTGGATATTGAAAATTAATTAATATTTTGGATTTATTATTCTATGATAGTCCATAATATTATTTAACTGATTGAAATGCTACCGGGCTATTCTCAATCATATTGGGCCTCCTTTAAATGTATAGGGCCGAGATCGAAATCTGTTGGACTGCTCGTGAACGCTATCCATCTTATCAAAAGGAAAATATTAATATGGATCCGTTCGGATAAAATTTAGTGATTAAATTAATTTGGATTGTTTAAAATATCCAATTAATTTAGTTATAGATTGAGCTTTTAAAGAATGGACCGGTCCTATTGATTTTGAAGCCATTATCAAATTGCGGCCCAATATATAAAAGACATTATTCAATTGATAAAGAGGACAACGAATCTGGCTAAGAAATCCTTCCATATGCATGAGAAATGACCAAGAGCCTTGTTAAAAAAGCTGTCCAGATACATTGCATAAGTGCTGATTTTACTGGTTATTAAAATGCAAGCAAATAGAGCCCGAAGCCCATTTTAATTAAGACCCAAATGGTATGGACGAATTTCCTAAACCCTAAAGCATGTTTTCACCCCCTCCACACCTATATATAGGGGTCTCAGTTGAGAGAAAGGGAGGAGAATTTTCAGTCGAAGAAACGCTGCAGAAAAGCTCTAAAGAACTCCCGAAAGGCTCTGAAGGATTCCGAAACATCGGAAGATATCAAGCCACATTTTTGTCAAGAATATATGATTAATCCTTTGTGATTTTCATCTATTCTTGATCAAACAAAGCCAAAAGTTGAAGAACGTTCGAAGATCTGAAGAACGAAGCTTGAAGATTCGAAGATCTGAAGAACGAAGCTTTGAAGATTCGAAGATATGAAGAACGAATCTTTGAAGATTTGAAGATATTCATATGAAGATTGAGTCAAAATTTAATTGAAGATCAAACCATATATCCCGGGAGGCCCTTAAACAGAAGATTAAGCCATAAAACGGCCCTTTTGTTGAAGATCAAGCCACTTGAAAACCGGAGGCCCTTCAATCTGAATTCTTTATTCAAGAAGATTTGAAGATCCGAAGAACGAAGATTCGAAGATCTCAAGAACGAAGATTCGAAGATCTCAAGAATGAAGATTCGAAGATTCGAAGAACGTTCGAATATTTGAAAGATTAGAGATTTAATTTTAAATTAAATTCTTTAATTATATTACTTCAAATTGCAAGTGAAGAATCAGAGGATTCATATTTAGAGATTGTACCCAATATTTTCATATATCATTATTTGCGATCGATTTTAAGTAAATATTTAAAATTTGTTTCACACATCTTTAGGCGTGTGTTAGTAGCCTCTGTCACGTTCATCTCCAAATCCATTTGGGGTTGTAAAACAACAATAGGGGATGACAAGTTGTGTGTTTGCGAGGGTGGGAAGGAAGGTGTGGGTGGTGTAGTTTCAGTGGGAAAGGACGGGTCAGTGACTTTTCTAATGTTTTAAGTCTTTCAAATTTCCATTCCTACTCAGTTATAGTTGTGGACATTAAAAAGATGGGCAGCTCTACCGTGCATTCACATTTTGGTATGTTTTGGTGCCTCTTACAAATGGACAAATGAAATCATGACATGTCATTTAATGAGGCATTATCATCTTTATTACCTTTTTTTTCTCCTTCCTTTTATGCTCCGTATTACTTTTTACCAATTTACATATTAGTTCTCACATTTTAATATCTTTGTTTTGTACCCATATTTATTACATCCTTATATTTTAAACGTCTTTATTTTGTACTTCATTTTAAATTATTTCCTTTTTATTTTCCACAAGTTTCTTCTCGTTGTTTTTTAAAAGAGGGCGTAAATTCAATTTTCAAATGGAAACATGTACCAAACAATTTTTGTTCAACGTGACTTTGAGTTCTTTTTTTTGGCTAAGTTTTGTTGTTGAAGTATCTGTGGCGGTTCATATGTTAAATATTATTTTAAGAGCCTATTTAGTAACACCGAAATGTGATCATTTTTACAAAAAGACCATGATGTGATTAAGAAAGTCACATATTTGGAATAATATTATGTCACTATTATATACCAATATTAGATTTTTATGTCATTTTTATATGTCATTACCAGATTTTTATGTCGTTTTTACTATGAAATATGTCACTATGACCATTGAAAAAAAATTCGACAACCTTTTCCAGTGGAACTTTACACCACCACCGGCAGTGACTCGTTGTCGCCTTATAGAGACCAATCGCTCGTCAGTGACACCTCAGACTTTCGTGTTACTTATGAATGTCACTGTCGTCGTGAACTATGTCATAGTGATCCCCGGAGAATTTTTCGGTGACTTTTTCCGGTAACACTGTGACAATCAACATCACCGGTAACCACCTCTTCAGCACCGCCACTGCTGTCTCCCGGTAGATCGCCTGCCCCAACACCCCAAACCTAAACCCAGTGGCCACCATCCAGCCCAGGTGTCGCTACCACCCGCACTGCGCACTCCGCAGCCTCAGCCCTAACCCCCTCCCCTACCCTGCCACAACCCTTATAAGTTCGTATTTCAACACGCATTTGATGTGTGTTATGATTGAGTTTTGTCACCTTTCCTAATATTATTTGAGTCAAAGCGTTTAATTAGCTCAAGTCACGGTTTATCGAATTTGGTTTGCAATTGTTGTATTTAGAAGCAAAAATCCGGAATTTGAACCGGACATTGGCGTTAAAAGTTAACTTGAGAGGATTTGGGACCCTTTCTAGAGATGAACTCTATTACGTTTTCTGAGAGCTTTTCAAACCTTGTTCATCAAGATTGTGAGATTCTTTGTAAGTTCTAACTTTTAATTAATGATAATTAATTTTTTTCGTCCCAATCTATTGATTGCTCAGTCATGAATTATGAGTAGTTTTAATTAGGGATTTGGGATTGATGAAGGTATTAAGTATAATCTACGGTTAAATTCTTGAGAGATTAATTGCATGATCTTTATTTAATTTGTGTTTGAATATTTTAATTGATATCTCTTGAATATTCATCAGCGTTTCTCAATTAAATAATTTTCATGTGATTATGCCTGATCAGCCTTGAAATCTGGTTACCCCAAAATCAACACATGTTCCCTTACGTTATTAATTAGAAATAATCATTTAGTTTAATATTTTATTCGCATTTTAATATTTCAACAATCCAAATTTCGCAAGCCGCGCGCAGCTTGCAAGCGTGAAGCGGCCTACAACAACTTTTCAATGGATAAGGATTACTTGTAGTAGGAATCATTGAGACCTCTCTCTAGGGTGGATTTCCGCCGCTAGAGTTTTCTTCTCCGCTATCGATTCTTTCGAGGAGCGGTCGTCTTCCCTACATCTTGTTAGGGTTTTTTGTTTCTGCCGATCGAGTTTCGTTCGTTGTCTGAGTTTTTCGTGGAACGAGTGCTTCACGCGGCTTTTCTCTTTGGAGTTTCGGAATGTCCAGATTGGATTTTTATGCGCGAAGAAACACAAGACAATATGACAGAGTTTTCTTCTGCACCTCGGACATGGGTTTCAATGGCAAATATCAATGAGCAAATTGGCAAGAGCAAATTGGCGATCGCAAGAAGAATAGGGATTCAAATGAATTTTCCGGGGGGTTGAAATTCTTTTCTACCATACTACAGCAGCTTGCCCACCTCCGGAACCACCTCCAAGCCAGAAAGAAATTTGGGGAAAATTTTTATTCTCGTATTATTTTTCCTTTTGTAGTACTTATTGTTATTTCAGTTTGAGCATGTGTGGTTGGAGTATTTTGATTTTTGAAGAACTTTTGATAGGCAGTACTGCATTTTCGATCATTTTAGGCTTCTTTTTGACCTTTTTGTGTCTTGCGAGTCAGGGCTTATGATCGGATATGTAATAGCTATCTGGATTTTGTCTTGCGTGTTTGCTTTATATTAATGAAAAGCCGTTGTGATGATCAAAACAATCCAAATTTCGCACAATTGCATTTATTTTTTTTATTTTAATCATTTAAACTAGTTAATTCCCGATTCCCTTTCTCCGTCTCTGTGGAGATGATACTCGTACTCTTACCCTATATTACTACATCTTTTTAAGTGTCAGAAAACTCACATCAAGCCCCCATCCCTAGCACCCTTCCAGCGGCCAGCCACCTGTTCAGCAAACATTCCCAACCCTAGCCCCTCCCCAACCGCCGCACCACCAACCGTAACTCTAGCTACCGCCCATCGCTAAACCCATCGCTGAACCATAGACGTATCTGTCAAAAATTTGGATTGAATTTTTTACTCTCTTTTTTGTCCACGCGAATCTTGATCATATTATTGTCCACGGAAAGTTGTGAAGTAATATTTATGTCATTCTTTAAAAAAATTATACTATTCTTTTGACAAATCACTGGTAGACGACGAGTCACTGAGAACTAGTCAATGAATATGTCATTTATTTGAAATTTTTTAGAATGTGTCATATTCTTATTTTTTGAATTTAATTTAGTAATATTCATGAGAAAAGACTTATATATAAAGATACATGATTTAGTTTCAAAAGAAATACATTAATTAATGGCACAAAATGTATAATTATATACATTGATGGTCCCGGATAGAGGTAAAAGTCTAGAGGGGGGGGTGAATAGACTTTTATAGCTTTTTCGTTTTTAAGAACTTTTCCCTTCTAGATGAGTTGATCTATAATCTTTTGGGAGATTAATAGATGCACAGCGGAAGTCTTTAACCTCTAGAAACTCAGTTTAAGATAACTTTCTAGTCTGGGTGATGTTTAGACTAATTATGGAAGGGCAGTAGACTTGGCAGTTGGATGATGGGTAGGCGACTGCTGAGGCAACTGCTGAGTTGGCAGTTAGCTGAAATGCAGGA